TATATATATATATATATATATATATATATATATATATATATATATATATATATATATATATATATATATATAGAGGCGATTAAAGAGTACCTAATTAGCCAAAATATATACTGAATTAAGTAACTCACTACAGTACTCTAGAGATTTAATTGATACATGCAACTAGATTACCATACTTCCTAGAAACCTTACACTGCACTGGACAAATTTACGAACAAATTAAAGCAAGATTTAGGGAATAAAATTACTGCATTAAACAAAAATTTTTGCATGAACTAAACGAAGAACAACTGCATAGTTTAAGAAACAAAACAAATAAACGAGAACTTTAAGATTTACCACTCTATCAGTGATCGAATCGCAATGCTTTGTTAAAACTTGTTCGAAAGCACTACATGCATCCAACCGGGATTTTGGAGTATTCAACTGCTTTTGAGCCAATCCAAGATGATACTGATTTTGAGGACATTCATTTCGCTGCAAAAATCTGTCTTTTTAAACCATGAAAAGTTTTGTACCAAACCAAATAATCCTGCAAGTTTGCTCCAACCGACTTACATGCTGTTTATACATTCATTTTAATAATATAGTTCATTCATATAATAAAAGAATGATAGGATTTGAGTTCCAAAGGCTATTTTACTGTAGTATAACATCTAGCTCACAGTTTATACTTAAGCTATTTGGAACAATCTAAGTCCAAAATATATAATACTCACTATTCTCGACAGAATCAGTTCATGAACAGAATCAGTTGGCATCAAAGTCCTTGGTCTTAAAAAAAAGCACTGAAAATACGAATTTCCAAAGGAGGTCTATGTTAAACATGACTCCTTCGGAAATCCGTTTTTCTTTTCTTTCTTGACGGTTTGAAACTCCTGTTCACAAATATCAAAAAGAAAACATGCTTGTAAAACTACAAGAAATCAACTAACTTCTAATTCTTTTGCACGTAGATGACAATCTATAGCTTGCTGATACTCACCAAGTTTATATTTCGCAATACCTAAAAAATGAAGTTCAAAACATCTATTGCAGAAGTTAATCATAGATATTATTCAACTGACACAATGTTCAAAAAGTATTGTATCTGAACTTCACAGATTTTGCAGTAAAAAATTGAACGAGGAAAACTCAGTATACTAAATAAAATTCCCGCTAATGAAGAAAATTTTTACCATTCAATTTAAAAATTTCTACTGTAAATGGAAAGATTTAACGAATTGCCTATGTCCCACTCCCTAATATCTTGACTGAAACAAATGTTTCCATATTATAAAACGCTCAACGAAGAATAATGTAATGTAAATACAGTTAAGTGAAACAAATTATTCAGCGTTCGTTCATTAGGGTAATCGAACTGCCAAAGGCAAAAAGATTTTCGATTTAAAAAGGGTATGTCTAATTTTCAAATAAAAATTAAAAAATCAACGTTAAAATAAGTTAGATAATTTTAACTTTACCTAAATAGTACCAAATTTGCGGATCTATACTGTTAGTAACCAATGCTTTTTCAAGTTCATCGATTGCCTTCAGTAATCGTTTTTCTTTGTTTCCGTATTTGGATCTTTTCAACATGATAAGACCATACCTGAAATTTCGGATAGTCTATATTCGAAACCTGCAATGCTGGATAGCTTTTTTTACCAATGTCTGAAGGACAGGAGATTAAAAGGATGTGTAGAAACTGAAGTTATCTTTGTGAGTTGCATTATATGCCGTGTATCTCAATAACAGCAAAAAAAAAAAAGCCAAAGATTGTTACCATTTATGGGTTTCAGCTCGCAAATCCTCATCTTCCTCAACAGTGGCTGCTTTGATTACGTAGCGATGAGCCTTATTTCATAATAATTTAGATTTTTGATCACAAATATGTGAATTATTATAGAATTTTGTAAGTGCATAAAAACATATTAAAATAGCACAGTTACTTTTGCAGTTATTGACATCCCAAAATTTATTCAAACTTAGATGCTTCATGAAGCGTCAATGGCTCTACTTGCTTACTAAGGCAGTTAGCATTACTTTAGTGTGACAGTGTAACATTTCAATGAAGAAATATGAATTCACAAAATTATTGTTAGATTTCGAATATTTTGCTTCGGCACTTTAAATTCAGAATAAGGTTATGAAAAATTTAAGGATCCACTGAAAAAAAAATACCTTGCGCAAAACCTTTCTTCGTAACCTATCATCGCTATCAAACCTGATAATTTGATGAGCCTTTTCTAAAGAATCAATCGCACATCTGAAAATGAATGAGAAAAAACAAATTTAATACAAATGTCATCAAAATTCAAGAGAAAATAGCCTTCATCTATTTGCTTAATAATTTCAATCCGTCAAACAAAGCTCAGCAACGATGAGGCCATCTTTTGATAAATAAGTTACGGTAAGTTCCAATATGGCATTCTTTGTAGTATACTGAAATGGAGTTTTTTGTTTTTATCCATAACGATTGAAGCCATAGGAGAACAGTTCAAAATAAATTATGACTACTAACTTCTTACCTTAGATAGGATCCACTGGGAGTGTTCGTTCGGTATTGTTCTTCTATGTAGTGACATTTACCGACAATGTCCGCAAATTTGAAATAATATTCATAGAAGTCTGACCGATATTTCCTCCTAAGATGGAAAAATTTTTAAAGAAGATAAAGAGCTATTATTATCATTATTATACCAATAGAAAACATTACAAGAACTAAGAAAGAAAAATACCACTTCTCATCGTCATCTAGAATAGGGCTAGAATCAACTGAATCCACCAAACCAACGGTTAAGTATCCTACAGTACCAGCAATACATGTCTTGATTAATGGGTATTTCCATAACCTTGTTACCATCTAAATATAAAATTATGAATCTAAAGAGTTCAACATTAAACATTAGCTACAACTGATAATAATTTAATGAATGAAATTTCGACCACAATATCTACAGAAATAAGTTTTTATTTAGTTACCAAAGATGAAGGTATTCCGTAATTGCTAAAAAAAGCCGAAGTCTAAGAAGCATAAGTCGTAAAGCTATTACATTGCATGTAATGTTGGGAATTCAAATCATTCAAATCTGAACTCAAAAAAAGAGGTCTGAATTTCCTGGTTGAAAACTGCCACAAATAAAAAGAAGTAATAGCGAGAATAAGGAATGAAATTTTATACTGCTTACACAGACATTCAGAACCGGAGAACACACCAAGCAGTCTCGTTTATTCGCTTAATTTGTACTGATAATTGCTACTCATAAAGGAAAGCGAAAATTATTTATTTGAAACTCTTCGCATATTCTAATAAAACTATAAAAAACAAATGAATGTATAAAAATGAAAATCAGTATGGACAAGCTGAATCTGGGATATCCTCCATACGCACCCCGCATTTTTTCAACAAAAATTCGCGGGCTTGCACTCCAGCCTAAAAATACGATAATAAGTTAAGCAGCCAACAGTGCTAAGAAAATCATCGAGAAGAAAGAGGATGAAAAAAAGAGAATGTTTATTAATGTCATTACAAATCTCAAGGGTTCTGAAAGAATTCCTCATGACCCTCCCTAATTTATTTTGCCCATTCAAACACACAACTTGTTCCCAATAAATGTTTGTGGCGTCAGTTATTTTAAAGAATTGCATGGTCTATGTTTAATTTCATGTTTTCATACACTATATGATCTTATAAAATTTGTCTAAAGGAGCTTTATCTTCATTGTCACCTCGCTCACTTTTAAATCAAGCCAGTGCTAAATTAATACTTTTTCCACTCCGCGAATATTTCAATGATATTAAAGAAAACCTTATATTCATTCCTATAGCGCGGAGTCAGGATTTTTGCTTTCTTGAAACTTTCGCATGCATCCTTTTTCCGTCCTAATGCAAGTTCTGCCTTTCCAAGCCATAATGTGTTTTCGTTTGAGAAACCAGGCTAAAAATAACGCTTACGTCTGAAATTTAATTAGTAACATTTCGCTCACCAGTGCAAGTACTTTGTACTGCAGTATGTTTTGTGAATAGATTAAAAAATGAAGAATAAAGAAGACATTTTAGCCTCACATAAAATCACAAAAATAAATGTTTTGTGTCATATTTCAATTTACATTTCAGGGTATTTGAACGTCGTTTTTTGGAACCAAGAAAGATGATAGCAAAGAATCTCGTCTCTTCTCCTCCTTAAAAATTTAACCGAAAATGGCCAGCAAGATTCCCAACTTCGGTGATATGTGAAGTCTACAACATAATAATGGTCGTCCCGGTGGTAACTTTATACGAATGAAAATGAGAAAATTTTAAGTAAATAAGAATAATTCGTTAAATTTTTAGGAAAATATACATGCCTCCAGTGATTCGGCTTTCTGATGGCTTTCCAATGCACGCTTGTAATCCTTCTGCATATATTGCACTATACCTGAAATGCTTCCGAATTTGCAAATATTGTAAGTGATGCATTCAAGATATTCCTAACATGCTCCGAATTTGCATGAGTTATATGGTTCTATAAATTATTGGGAAATTTGAAACACTTGAAAACCATGTAAATTAATGACTATTTGATAGGTTTTGCCTTACAGTTTGCTGGTTACTTAAACACTCCAACTATTATGTCAGCAAATATATTCTAATCTTATTTAGTACATTTTCCAATCATTCCTTGCAATGAGTTATTGTTTAATATTAGTAAACAGTTATCAAAATTTTCACATAAAACCAATCAGGTATCCCATCCCTTTTTTGCAAGTTTTGATTTTATATATTCACTAATTGTACTCGTCCTGTACACCACTAAGCGATAAAATAGAAGACAGCTGGAGATAACTAATGTAGTTAAGAAAAATCGAAATAATATTCAGATTTTGTGAATTTTTAAAGAAGCACGTATATTCGCCCTGGAAATGTTATGCATGGAACCGTCAAATACTCCAGATAGTAATTTGCCCTATAATCTTCTCTTGTAACGAGAAAAGCGTTACTAATCAATCACAAAACATGCGCCATCGTCGCCAACTGATCAAAACCGCATGGTACTAGTTAAACAATAAAAATATGTACAAAGTGGTGCAACAAAATTAAGGATTAATTCAATCTATCACTTTTCCTTCTGAATAATTCGTAACTGCAAAACAGAATACATCAAAAATCCGATCATAACAACAGTATACTTCAACAAAAAATAAGAAGGAAGGCAAAATTATGTTTTTCGATACATCGAAAGTTATTTAAAATAGTCAGTGATAATTAAGTTATCAAACTCATCCCCCAGTGAAGTACACATCACAAATAACCAGTCTAGTATGCGATATGGATTTTAGATTGCATAAGTACTATTAGAAGACTGGTTATATTTCAAAATTACTTTTGAAGGGTAATGTTTTGCCAAGTTCAAATAAAAGTTTGCGTTGCACAAATTTCCTTCCTTAAATTCCAAAATTCCAAAATGCACAAATTTCCTTCCTGAAATCTTCCTTAAAGCTAACTTATCTCATTAATTTTGAGAAATGCAAAAAATTTAATGGCATTTGTGCTCTAACTTATCCCAAGAATCAGTCTCGAGAAATACAAAAAATTTAATGACATTTGCATCACGGATGAGAACTAAAAGTAAGAGAAAACAAAACATGTGAAAAAAATTTAACACATAAGATCTAACGTAGAAAGAGACCTAACGTTGGGAACGTTCTCAATCATTTGACTCATTAAATACACAATGAACATTAAATCATACACCGTCCACTTACCCATTATGCTTGACTCAAGCTTCTTTCAAATCCTTGTCATTACATCCTTTGGGTCTAATTTAACCGCTCTCTCAAGGTATTTTCATATTTATTTTCCATTAACTTCATCAATTTCTCAAGAGCGTACATATTATTTCCGTTAACGTCTATTCTCTGTTCGATTAAACGTCAAAACAAGCTTCCAACTACGATGAAATGCACTGTTGGGTTTTATGGAGCTTGTATAAGATATTTGTGGCATTTATGCAATATATTTTATGGGGCCGCCAATAATACTGGTCCTAACAAATGAAATTCGAAGACATCACACAAATTGTTTAATATGAGCATTAAAAATAAATACAGTTAATTTCATTCTGAATTCTTTACCAAATGATCCATTAACTGCTTTTCTAGGGCACAATTGCCACTAATCTACTTTTTTTTTATCAAGTGACTTGCTAGGTACGTTATCATTCACTTTCAACCACTAAAATTTGATCGACTAGCATGATATGTTTCTTTAAGAAATTTAATGATACCCAATCATTCGGAGGTGAAACAGCGAAAAGATCTATGCTACACTCATCAAATATGAAATGAAAGGAAAACAAACCAAGATACTGCCATGATCTTACATCCTTTGGGTCTAATTCAACCGCTTTCTCAAGATGTTTTCGTGCTTCATCAATTTTTTTATCCGAACGAAAATCCATTAATTTTACCAGAGTTATTCCGTACCTGAAAATGACGGAAAGCTTACCATCCTTTATCATCTTTTATTCTTTATTCTGGTCGTCTTCAAAAAGGATAAAATGATAGTAAAGCTACAAGAAAAAGATCGGTTTACTAAAATAAGATAGTCATAATTATATGCGTACATCCTAATGAAAACATCACTTAATCCAATCGAGTAGGCTAAGGAAGCTAAACGAAAGGGATAAGCCCTTCTCAATAACATATATCCTCAAATTTGTTGCATAATTTCAGTTTACCATTTGTGTGCATTAGCATTTGGATTCTGTGAGCTTTCATTGTCAAGCGCCTTTTTACCCACTTTCTCTGCCTAAAAATTACTGTATCGGCTGGATTTTGACTGGCTTGGCATTTCGAATACTGCTCAGAAAATCGTTTAGAAACAAAAACCGGAAAGAAAAGCGACTTCAGCAGGAAGAAACCTCGAGGAATGTCGCCATCCGATTCTTGTCGGCACTTGAAGTCCATAAAGCAATTTCGAGTAATACTCGGGCATATCGCCACAGGATGTCGGTATTCACTGAGTCCGAATATCTGAAATGAAAAAATAACTACGTATCATATGTAAATAAATACGCGAAATAAATATGAAGCTTTTCTAGCAATCCAAGTCCAGACTGAGTAACAAGTTAAGGCTATAGGATATGGGATGATGTCAAAAGAAATTTCAGAGACGAAGTATCTATTCTAGTAGAAATAAATATGGATATAATGCAGCTTCTTCAGAACTGTCATATCCCACCACTGTAGAGAAAGGATTAGTGATCTGAGTTTCAAAATATATGAAAACTGATTCCATTACCAATTATGTTTATTATTTACTCTTTCAAAAACTTGATAAATTGAAGGTCCAACTAAAACGTGCCGACATAATAAAACGAATAGCAATAAGAAAACAAAGCTTACGGCAAAAGTTTTTCACGAAGATTTTCTAGCAGTATCACATCATCCAAATAGCCTTTCCGATTCGTATATTTTATTGCAAATGACAGCTTACGTACAGCTGTTTGATACCTGCATATAATAGTACTGATATAACGAACAAAAAGAACTGTTGCGACATTCAGTATATTGCATCACCTCGCATTGGCAGGAAAATGCCCGAATATGTTAACTATTAACATACTTTTGGGTAATGACAGTTGCGATAAGCATGACAATTGATATATAGACTCATTAACAGAGAAAAGTAACTCATATAAGTGTACCTAATTTACATCTTAAATAACAAGAACCATTTACCCGATATGTGACACTGCTAATATGTTATCTCTAATTCTACAATACAAGTAAATTTCAATATAAGATGAAACAAAACCGCTAGTATGACAGAAGGGGATTTCGAAGCATTCTGCCAAAAAACGTGACAGAATTATCATCAGATAACACGATACAGAAAAAGTTAAAAATTTGTGTATTAAAATATTTCGCATTGCATTGAGTTACAGCCATCTATTGTATAGAAATCAGCTACCAAACACAGTTCTTGAAAAAAAAAATTACAACACACCATGTAGGTTGTTTCTTAAGTTCATCGTCACTAAGAGCGACAGCTGCAGCAGTAAACACTGTTCCTCCAAAGTAAGCATGTTTTCGAGAACTGAAATTCTGAAAAAAAAAACCGAGAAGTTGCACAGTTCTTTATTCCGAAATTGTTATGATAATGTTTTACATACTTTAAAGCTCACCTAACCTTCCATCGACCATTATTCAATTCAGAAAAATTATAAATACTGGTGTAACAAAATATATGGCACAAATTATTGTAACTTAAACAAGCTTCTAGTCTACCTAAATTAAATGATAATGCTTTACAAAATTGAGGAATCGGAACATTTAAGGAATCAAAACGAATGAATACTGCCGAAGGCAGTACAAAAGAGATAGAAATGGACCTGCACGGTTTTTCGGAAAATATCACTCGTTCTGCGAAACATAATAATAACCTGGAACGAAATAAATTACACTGCAATAGAAAGCATTAGTAATAAAAATTTATTTATCGAATAATAATCTAATTGCGCCAAAAGAAATGTCAAAATCTGAGTTTTATTTCTGTAAGTCTTTAGTCTTTCCGATAATTACGACGGTTTAATTTTTCGGCATAAATAATTTCTTATAACTTTCCAGTCATTAAACCCGTGCCGGAACGGGACATACTGAAATGACCTAACTACGGAAAGTACTTCCCTCTAGATGACCCGGAACAACCATAACAGCGAGACAAAATATTCCCTTTGGGATGAGACTGTTGCACAGAGAAGATAAATTCATCATCTGTGAGATGAAGATTGCGATCATCTGCAAGAGATGTCGAGAGCATTTGAGAAGGTTGGAAGGTGGGTGAGATCTCGGCGGTAAATTAGATTCTTGAAAGTCCATCAGTTGTCTCTTCTTAATTTAACACGTCAAACAGGAAACTAGGGTGACAGCTTAGACTGTTCCATTCTGGCTCATAATTGTCCTTATAATTTCAACGTAGCAAACTAGGATGACAGCTTAGACTGTCTCATTCTGGCTCATAATTGTCTTTATAACTTCAACATAGCATTATTCACTCGCATTTACAGTTTCTCATTTATTTGTGCCCATCTTGCACTGTCACAGACATTCTATTATTCTATTATTAGTCAAAATTTTTAGATGTGTACCAATTATTTTCACTTTCTACAAAATTTTCATCTAAATTTGTTTTCTTTTCATTGTCACGTTCAAAAACTAAAAATTTTATTTTTTGAATTCATTTGTTTAAAAAATCGTTTCCTCGCCATTTAAAAAATTTTTGATTTCAAATCAGAGGAGGTTTCAGGTAAGCTCATTTAAAATTATCGGTGTCTGGTTGTAACATTACTTAGGCAGTGATTTATATTGAATCTAGCACAAACCTGCTCAAGTTGCGATGTTTTTCTACTTGCATCCAGATGGAAAATGTATTTGCATGCGAACTTTAGTTAGACAGAACAAGCATTAATTTTTAGTTCATTTATATGACGAATAATATAAATGGAAAAAAAAAACAAAAAGCAAAATACCAAAACTGCTTTGTCACTGTGACCTGCTTATTTAGAATACAATTCATTACTCAAATGCTTAATTATTAGAATTCTTGATTACCTGCATACACAAATATTCTATCATTTAGATACTTAACTACTTGATCACTTAAATATTTGGTCATTACAATTCTCAATTACTTCAACATTTGAATACTTGAATATTCGATTACTCAAATACTTGAATGCACTACAATTATTTGTGCGGTTGGATGTCTCATTGCTCGAATACTTGATTACTTGGATATCTAAAAACTTGGATAATAAAAGGGAAAGAAAGTGAAACATAAATTCATGTTGACAAAACACCTCAGGAATGTCCCTGAGATGTCCTGCTGCAAAACAGCCCGATTTGAACGATAACTCCACCTGTCAACATTCATATTATGTATGAGTGAATGTTTGTGTGTTTGTATATACATATGTACTGATAAACTCTGTCTTTCTATTGGCATTTCTTTACCTAGTCTCAGAGTTACTTCGTAGAAGTACAGGAATGAAATAATTAAGGGAGAAATTGTGGGAAAAAAACAAGCAATTCTTGTAGAGAAGGGCTGAGGCCACGTTTTTTCAACCGTAAATTTGGAATTAAATTTTCAGTGAGAAAAAATTGATGAATAGTTTCAGCGTAGTGGGTTTGACAGACATGGCTAAGATGTTCATCCTTTGAAATTTTAAAATCAAATTTGGTAACTGACTCACATAGTTGAGAAATGATTCACGCAATTAGTGCAGATTCCCGCTTTTATAATTAAATTAAAGAGAATGCTTCCTATGAATCCCTCCGGAACGAATAGTAACTGCAAACCGGAAGAGATCATTGGTTTGCATAGTGACCTTTCTATGCTGTGAAGTTCCCAATCGATAATGAATTCCAGAATGGAGTTCCGGTTGGTAGTGAGTGTTTTCTGAGGCTCAGGTAATCATCTCAGGAAAGCTCCTGGAAAGTTAGGAAGACTGAGGGGTACTGGAAGGAGTTGAGAAGTACTGGAGTAGTTTGCTGGAGCGGAGGAAAAGGGACAAGTATGTCGGAAAATTCCGTCACGAAATTATGCCTCGATTTTTTCACCAATAATGAATTTCCGGATGGCCCAAACTGCAGATTATATTTCAAAGTTCTTAATCATATGGTTATTTTAGATAAGTAATTCCAGTAATCTCATAATGAGTGGGAAGTAATAAAAAAGTTGTACAATCGATTATTTATTGTATTCGTTTGGAACTGACTACTTATTAAAAAAGAATATTACAGAAAACGTTTAGCATCAAATGTATATTAGATGAACAAAGTCAGACAATTCAGTGATTATAAATTGTATAAAAATGACTTTGACAGTTAATATAGTGAGCTGATTCCAAATGGAAGATTCACTGTTGTGTTGGATGACTTATTAATCCAAGTGGTCTCTGGTGTTTTCATATTTCCTTAAGAAAATGTTATATGTTTTATGATGGATGATGCGTAGTTTCTTTTCGGCACTTTTTTTTTATAATATACAAATTAATAAAAGGACTTTTTTAGATTAGTGCTACAATTTCTTATTAAATTTGTGGCAGAAAAAGAAATGGATAGTCATAATTATTACGGTAGTGGTGGTTGCTCAAGTTGGATGAGAGTCGGTAGTGCTTCATCGGATGTAACTTCAACAATAGCATCACAACAACAACAACAGCAGCAACGGTTTTATTATCCGACAATATCTTTGAATAGTGTTACTAAGAATAAGACGAGTAAAATAAGCGGTGGTGGTGGTATTGGATATCAAGATTACCATGATCATTATTCTCGGCAACAACAGCAGCAACAGTATTCTGGTCCTAATGGTACGGGTTATTATGGTTGTACCGGTTTCCTTGCAAAACAACAAATGCAGCAGTCAGCCGTTTCATCTGGTGGAAAGCGTGGACGTATTGGTGGTACTTTTCCAAGGAAGGTAAATAGTAATGCTTTCAATTATAGGTTAACATCCTCCTATTAAAAAGAAATAGGAAGCTTTAATTGTTTATTATCTGATCAGGATATGCATATGTATATATATATATATATATATATATATATATATATATATATATATATATATATATATATATATATATATATATATATATATATATATATATATATATATATATATATATA